CACTGTGAAACTGCCCTTGGTGTGACTGTGTGAAGCCAGGCTACGAGGGGGGACAAAACCACTGTATTGGCTTGGCTTTGGAAGGCTAGAGAAGTCATGAACCTGACTGCTGATTCTGTTGATATAGTGTCTATTGCCCTGGGCAAGTTTTTGTGCAGCTGTATCACTCTCCTGCCGGGTGCTCTGAGAGAAGCTGGCATTCCTGGCATTTTCTCTCCTTCGACTTATGCGTTGGTGCAAGTGTTGATGCTCCTGAGGTACACTGGTAGACGAGGCAGGCTGGGTGTGGCTTGTTAGACGTGGCTGGCTAGACTGTGAACAGGCTGAGGACCTTCTTGCTTGGAGCAGGGGCTGACTGGAGCTGCTGAATTCAGCTCGTGAAGAGCTGAACCTATGATTGACTGAAGAAAGGTTTCTCAGTGTATCAGTGCTCTCTTTAGTCTGACTGAAGCCACAGATCTGGCAGATGCTCTGGACCCACCTATTCCTGTCAGCCTCTGTCTCAGCCACATTCCTCAGTGGAGGGTTTCCTGTGTTTCTTTAATAATTTTCTTAGCATTATTACTTAATCCAAAGTTAAAAATGAAACCTTACCAGTCTCTTTAAACATTATCTGTGTGATTGACTGTGATCTCTCTTCCAATCCAACTGGCTAAGGAGTTTAGGTAACCCTTTTCCTGTTCTTTTACAATCCAAATCTCTTAGGAGATGAGGCACCCTTTTTCCAGTGCCTTTACAGCCAAACTCTCTTTGGAGTTGAGGCATCCATTATCCAGTACCTTTCTCCAATCCAACTCTCTTAGGAGTTTAGGTGCCTATTTTCTAGCACCTTTTGCAATCCACCCAAACAACTCCTTACTTTCTTACCAGCCTTGTGACAGTGATCTCTGAGGATTCCCTTTCTTTCTTGCTCTCTGTGGGACCTAAATTTGGGGCTCCTCTTGGACACCACTAAGTCCCAGTATCAGGCTAAAGCCTGGAGATTTGGATGAACCAAAAGTTGCCTGGTTCACTTTCTGCCTCACAGTCCCTCACTTTTCTTTTATTGTGGAACAGCCTTGCATACAAACTTACAAAAATACCAGGTCAAAGGGTTCACATCAGGATCCTATTGGGAAAGATCAGAAAAACAGGAAGTACCTGTGGTTATGCTGGAAAACAACTCTTAGAGACCCTGTGGGGGCTGGGTCCCAACACCCAATGAGTCATTAGATGGCTGAAGCATATTAGCAAGAACCAGGAGCTCACAACACTCAGGAACCCAAATTGGGGACCAGCCATCCTGTGTGAAAACACAAACAGAACCCAGGGCCCACAGCAAAACTGGATCTGGCCCTTTGCAAAGGCCTGAGGGGAGGTCTCTCCAATGAACCAAATGTCTTTTCTGTGCAGTGGACCGCCAATGATGGCCTGCTGTGGAGTTACCAGAGTCATCCACAAATAAAAAAATTTAAGATAGAAAATAAGTGATAGAGTTAGGGAAGCCAAGGTTACCCTCAAGGTCCCCCTTCTTTACTTTAACTAAGTAGGCTTTTAAAATGTGGTGGGAATGTTCCACAGCAGCCTGTCCTTGGGGGTTGTAAGGGATACCAGTTTTGGGGGTAATTTCAAAATCTTGACAAAATTGATTGAAACCTCTGCTAATATAAGCAGGGCCATTATCAGTCTTAATTTGTTTTGGGACACCCATGTAAGCAAAAGGCTGCAGACAGTGGCTTTTAACATCTTTTACCTTTTCACCAGAATGGGCAGAGGCAAGTATTAGTCTGGAAAAAGTATCTACAGAAACATGGACAAATTGCAATTTACCGAAGGATGTCACATACGTTATATCCATCTGCCACAGGTTATTGGCCAACAGTCCTCAGGGATTAACTGCCAAGTTAGGCACTGGAAGATATTCCACACAAAGAGGGCAATTTTTAATTATTTAAACAACTTGTTCCTTGGTTATTCCAGTAGGAATTTGTAAGGACACTGTGGTGAAATGAAAGCACTTATGTAAGGATTGTGCTTTAGTGCGCTCTTGTGAACCTGCAATGCATTGAGTGTACCTCTTGGCTGTGTAATTTCTTTCACTGAGAGGTACTGGCAAATGGGTATGGACCCTAAGATGTCCCACAAATACAGGTTCACTCCGTTGCCATTGCAGACACTGTTCTGTAACAAACTCTCTTGTACTTAGAGATTTGGCAACATAGGCAGGCATCTCCAAGGGTTGGACAATTTGAGCTAGATATTGATTATCAGTATAGATGTTAGTGCTTCCCTGATGAAGAGTTGTAGAGCCATGGCCAAGGCTAAAAGTTTGGCTATTTGGCCAGAAGCTGCAGCATTTCTGGCTGTCTTAATGATAGGATAAGATACAACTATAGCTGTCCCTTTTGAAGAACCCTCTGTGAAAACCATTTGCCCCTTGGAAATAGTCTGAGAGACTATAGTCTTTGAGAAAATCAAAGGATGTATCTTAAAAATAAGAAACCAGATTATTGGATGGGTAATACTTATCAAAATCACACTGGGTAGCAGAGAGAAAAATGCCCAAATCATAACTATTATTTTGTAGCCACTCTATTTGTTGACGGGATAAAGGTGTAACAACCTGATCTGGCTCCTTACCAAAAGTCTGCAAAGCAAACTTTTGCTCTTTAAGTAGGAGTGCAATTATAGCTTGGGGACAGGATACCACTGATTTACATGGGGAGGCCTGAGAATGAAGCCAAAGAATAGGACTCTCTTGCCAAAAAACTCCTGTAGGAGAATGAGCAGAACAAAACACTAATAATTTTAAAGGCTGGGCATAATCTATATAATCCAAATGAGCTCCTTCTAAGGCCTTTTCAATCAAATGGATGCACTTCCCTCCACGAGTAGTAAGACTTGAGGAGAGTTGGGATCTGAATCACCTTGTAATATATTCAAGAGAGGTTTAATTGGCCCAGTAGTAATTTTTAAACTATATCTGATCCAATTAATATCACCCAGAAGCCTCTGAAAACCATTTAAGTTTTAAGGGTGTCCATCCAAAGACTAATCTTTTAAGGGTGCACCCCATTTGCCCACAACCAAGAATGTCTTAGGTCTGGCTCCCTCACTGCCCTTCTTATTTCCCTGCATAGCAGAAGCAATAACTTGTCCCATTGTGTTGTGTCCATCTATATCTCTACAAATCTGAATATAATCATTGAGTCTTTTGGCCTTGTGAGGTCATAAAGCTTCTTTACAATAATTGTTGGCAGTTTTAAAAGCTATTTGTCTAACTATAGACCTGGCATTATCAGTATCCCCAAATATAACGCCTGAAGTTGTAAGAGCCGGTCCACAAAGTCAGAATGGGATTCAGAGGATCCCTGTAGGACCTTAGAAATTTGGTCTCCTATCGCCTTTAGGTAAAGCTTTCCAAGCATGTCCAGCAGCTGCTGGGATCTGTGCATATACAGCTGAATGGTAAAGAATTTACTGGCCTAGGTTTGCATAGGTTCCCATACCAGTAAGCATATCTGAATTCCTTTCAGGGAAATGTGCAGGCATGTTGCAATGTGCCGTTTGGTTACAAAGCTCTTGGAGTTCACCTCTCCAAATGAAATAATCTCCCCTGGACAGCAGAGCTGATATAATTGTTGCCAAACACTGGGCATGCAATTCAAAGTCACAAAGAATTAAAAAATGGTCAGAGTAAAAGGGGCATGAAACCCGTAAGCCATAACTGCCTCTTTTCAGCTGTTTAATATCCTTAAAATCAAGAGTGGAGTGCTATCTCTGATTCTGGCCTTGGGGAGTAACTGTTTCTATGATTGGGAACATCACTTTGCTCCTCTGCTCTTCAGGAAAGGCCGAAGGAAACCAGAGTGTGCTAGAATTACGAGCAGGAGGTTAAGGCTCAAGGGATCATTTTATTTAGCTTATGTTTTAATTTAACATCCCTTTCAAGTTCTTCCCTTTCCTTAGTCTAATCCCCTGAATATGAGGGAGAGGACCCAAAGGAAGTGTCATTAGAAGCTTGAAGTGACCTAACAGACTCTTGGTTCTGAGCCTCTGCTAAGGCAGCCTTGGCTTCCTTAACCTGCTTTTTCACTTCCACAATATTACTAAGAAGTGCTTCTTTGACAAGAGGGCACAGAGAAAAAGTAACAGTTGGTATGGCATTCGGCCCATCTCTGTGTAATGTCCTTTTCAGGTCTATCCTCACCTGCTCCCCATCAACAATACTAAGGTCACCAGAGATTAAAATCCAAGGCCTGACCTCTTGTACCATTTTTAAAAAGTCTGTTGCTGT